TTTTTTTTGTTCTTTGAAGTTAAGTAGCTGCAATGAGTAGTGAATTTTGTGGTTATGATAATTGTGTAGACTTGGATTGCCGCTGGTCTTCAAATCTAGCTTCGACAAAGCTAATAGGACTTCTTCGAAGTCATTTCGTGGTCCTGGTTTGGCCGAAGGCTTGAAGGTAAATAATTCTTTTGTTGTTGCTGTTTGTTTGAATTGCGACAAGTGTAGTATTTTTCAAATTTTGAGAAGGATTTTGCGGTGATGATGATGTTGTATTGCGAAACTCTCTTTTGTTGATGTAAATGAGCGTGTTAAGGGAAGAATTTTGAAGTTTTAGTTGTGTTTGCTTGTTTGATCTACAGATCCTTGAGAAGGTAAAGGTGACATATGACATTCCAGTAGTCACCGATGTTCATGAGACAGTGCAGGTTCGATTTGAGATGGAAATTTTAAACATTGTTTTGATGCACAATCATATTATTTAATAGGGTCACTTTAATCATTGGATTTCTTGAGGCAGCTTATGTGTGGACATGTGATCGGTATTTATCTTTGGATGGTAACGATAGAGATACTATAATCTGTCTATTTTTCTGTCATGTTTCTTGCAAATTTTGACAAAAGCAGCTTCAATAAATTATAAGGATAGGTTAAAAGCAAAATCACACTCAACCAAAATGAAGCGATGCTAACTTGTAAATTGTAATTCTCGTATCTAAGTACAGTGCGAAGCTGTTGGTCGAGTTGCTGATATAATTCAGATTCCTGCGTTCTTGTGCAGACAGGTCAGATTCAAGATTTTATTTCTGGTTAACTGTGAAATGCTTTTACTCGTTATACCTCTTTTATGGCTCGTGAGATTGCGTGCATCCTATTATTAATTGTCATTTGCTCTGTTTTTTGTGTCTTCGAATGTCAGACTGATCTACTAGTGGCAGCCGCTAAGACCGGGAAAATAATCAATATCAAGAAAGGCCAATTTTGTGCTCCTTCTGTGAGTTAAATTTTCCCCCCAGTTTTTGTTGCGCATCTTCGTTTTCCTTCCATCTCTTAGCATTTATAGATCTTGATCGCTCGCTTTTGGTTAATTGTTGTTGTAGGTCATGGTAAACTCTGCTGAAAAGATCAGGATGGCCGGAAATGAAAATGTCATGGTATGTGAGAGAGGCACAATGTTTGGCTATAGTAAGTAATCCCCAATTCTGTTTGACCAAAAATAAAAAATAAAAAAAACATTGCTAGCTCTCAGTGACCGTAGATAACTTATTGACAGAAGCGTAGATGAAAATTTCAAGATCTAATTATTTGAGTCTATTAAAAATATATTAAGTTTCCGCTAGAAAGTTGGGCAAAAACTTTATATTGAATAATATATCCAAGGTCGGCTGGTGACTTCTACGTTCTAATTGCCATATTATCTACCTACTTTAGTAATTCTCTGTGTCGAAGATGTCCTTGTGTAAATAGTTTTCTAAAGTTTATTGGTCCAATATGCAGATGACCTTAGTGTTGATCCACGTAACTTGGAGTGGATGAGAGAGGCCGACTGTCCTGTTGTAAGATTATCCATCCATGCTTTGCTATGCACCCATGACATGAATACCATACTTCACACGTCCAAACTGTTTAGTACATTTCTTGTCTGAAATTTTTGGGAAGGATTCCTCTTAAGTTAACTAATTTGCTTTCTTTTTCAGGTGGCTGATATAACTCATTCCCTACAGCAACCTGCAGGGAAAAAGGTATACCGTGTAATCGTAATATGTTTGCTGAATATATATCTCACTATAAACACCGACAAACTTCATTAACCATGAACACTTCCTTTCGCATCTAAAAGTATTTGGTGGTGGCCTTTTAGAAGGTCCTGTGATATACAAGTTCTGTGCCATGCCCTACTTAAGTCATATAAGATAGTGTGTTGATTGAAGGATCTAAAATGTATTGAGGTTTGTGACAAGTGATGTGCTATAGCCTATACCTATTTGGATTATTCTGCTTAAAAAAATATTGAATTTCGTAGCAAACAATGTTAAGAAATATTTTGTACCATTCTGTTAGATTTGAAATACTTTTTGCCATCCTGTATTGGAGAGTGGAGATTTAAAAACTCTCAGCATCAAGTTTTTTAATCAAACCCATATCTACGTACCCAAACAAAACCTAAATAATTTCCATAAGTATTCATTACTACTCGTCATTCAACAAAGCTTAGTCTTTCTTGCATCTGCTTTAATAACTTATTTTTCATTTTTTTTTCTTCAATGTTGATCATAAAAATGACTAATTAATTATAAACAGTTGGAAGGTGGTGGTGTTGCCAGTGGTGGTCTTCGTGAGCTGATACCATGCATTGCCCGGACTGCAGTTGCTGTTGGGGTGGATGGAATCTTTATGGAGGTACCTAACAGATCATTTCATATTTCATACAATAGTTAATTTTCGATAAACTTATGGGGATTGAATTATTCTTATGATTGTATTTTAGAATATTTGCCTACCCCAACTTGCTTGGGACTAAAAGGCTATGTTGTTGTATTGTATTTTAGAATATTTATCTCAGTATGCATTTTATGGCTAATAGGTGCATGATGACCCTTTGAAGGCTCCTGTTGATGGCCCAACACAATGGGTAAGCATAAACTGGAATTTGTTTCACAAATGGGAGTTCTGCATTTTGAACTGCTCTCTGGAACCCAGAGTTTACAGTATTGGAACGTGATAAATGGCGTCGTTCATTTTTATGGTGCAGCCTTTACGTCACTTGGAGGAACTTTTGGAAGAGCTCATTGCAATTGCTGTAAGTTGTTTCATAATATCATGCTTGTATAAAAAATCTATGGATTAATGAAATACCTGGATGATCACGGATATAATTTTTTCTTGATGAGGAATATCTTAAGTTAATCAACGGATCTAAACGTCATGAACTCATCTCGATTTAGACCATAACTTAATATTTGTGGTTTATTACTCGGTATGTCTGATGAGGTGGAAACTATTTTCTTTTAACTCATGTGTTTTGGCTTTTACAGAGGGTTAGCAAGGGAAAGCAACAGTTCAAAATTGATCTCACTCCGTTCACTCCATAAGATCTGGAGTATCTGGAACAGGTAATTTCTCCTAAACCCTTAAACCACTTTTTTCACAATTGAATTGCTATTTCTTCTGGTCCTGTGTATTTATATAGTGTCTAGACATACATTAGGGTTTTAATGAATAAATTACATATACAAAATGAACAGAGAAAATAAAGAAGGAGATATCTGCTTATAAGTGATAAGCTTTCCTGATTTGTTTTCCTTGGATAACCCTACGTGGTCTTTCGATGTGCCTCTTGTTATGGATTCTTTGTAAAAGCAATGTTGCTATGTACATTTACAGACCCTTAATACCTTCACACCTGTCTATTGTTTGTAGGTCTTGAGACAGAGAGGTACCATCTAATACTGAAATACTCGATGCAATATAATTGATTAAGTGGATGAATAACTCGGTTTGTACGCATTTTAATCAATTGCTTATTCTTGCTTTGTCCTATCGTGCTGAGGATAACCAAAACTTCTCGTCTGAACTTCGAGATCCTTTGAAATTATCTGTCTTTTAGTATACAAATGTGCTAAGCATGCCTATTGCCTAGTTATTTGTAAGAATCTTGTTTTTTTTTTTTTTTTTTTTTTTTTCCTTATGGCTAATGATACTTGCCCTATAACTGCCTACTGGAGTGTTTGCTAACTTTTGAATTAGAATCATGTGCAATTGTATGACTAATTTGCCAACTTTTGAATTAGAATCATGTGCAATAATTGTATGACTTCTGTAGTAATGTTGAAATCCAATGAAGAGTAATGAATATCCCTGTCATGGGCTGATAGCCAGTGATCTCAAAATAGCTAAGTAAAGCTTAAGAAAATAGAGGAAATTATCATACCCACTTAATGGTCAAAAAATGACTAAGTACTATCCTATTGCCAAATCAAGCCACGTTAAATGAGGTTGTTCAGAAACACTTCTCGAATGGACTTTTGGTTGTAAAAGTCTATTTGGATAAATATTAATGTTTGGTGCTAAATTTAAAATTGAACTTATAGATAAGTTGTTTCTTAAGGGCATGCTTGTTTACCAAATAATTCAATCAAAATGAGTTATTTTGTTTAACTAGAGTTAATTTTGAAAAAAAATAGTATGGTTAGTTGTTAGTGGGATTTTAAGAATGTATTAAAATAATATTTAAAGTAAAATGATTAATATTGATTTGATGTAAACGTAGAAGATAAATAATTGAAAATGATTGAAAATGACAGGTAGTTATAATTATGTGGGTGAATGAATAGTGAATTAAAATTGATGTGATGTATAAAAATAATTGATTGATATTATTTAATTATATAAATAAAATTAAGAATAGTGAGATTGAATTAAAGTTGAGTTACATTTAAATATGAGCAAATTATTCTGTAAACAATCATGCCTTTGGTAAACAATCATGCCTTGAAGAAAGTGAAGTATGTAGAAATAAAGGATGGAGATTTGTGGAGAAGTTCATTTGGAATGAGTTCATTTCTTAAATGGACTTTATAAAAAATGTTACCAAACAAGCACTAAACCTGCATGAGAACAAATATAATCATCATTTGTCTAATTATTACACAAGGAAAATAGCTGGAATGCTGGAAGTTGCCCAGCTTCTCATGGACTATTCAAGATAAACTCTCTATGACTCTATCTCTATATACACCCAAGCTTTCTCCTTTATTTCACAAACATACAACAAGTGAAATTGAACATTTATACACTATATATAAAAGTGTATCACCTATATGGTCATCCAAAAAAAAATAAAAATGCAGTAAACGTTCTACGAACATGTCGCCAAGCAATCATGACGAATCATCGAACCTTCCCGGTCCAATGTCTCCTTCACGGCCCGATACAACTCCACCCACGAACATGGCGGGCTTTCAACTGGGCCCCACAAGAATGTCGGGTTTGGGCTGGCAGGGCAAGCGGTCACCAAGTCCAAAACAGAAGCTGTGGGCTTCAACCTCTGGGGAAAATTGAATGCTAGGTTATCGACTTTGTGCTCGTAAATCTTCCCGCGTCTATCAAGTTTGTACCTCGACGTGCCTTGAAACTGGCCTTTTGCTTCCCACGGAACCCTAGGGACTCCCATTAGGTTCCATCTAATTAGAATCACGGTCTCGGATGGCTGCCAGACTCGGAGCACGTCTAGAGATATATCTCGGAATAAGATTTTGCCATGAAACCTCAATGCCCAGAATATCAGTTTGTAGTTTGAGATACCGGAAAACGTGTTCAGTGGGTCCTTGAACGTTATATCATCCCTTGCCAATCAAACATGAAAGCAAAAGAAAATTCAACTTACTAGTTCATTTTGGTTCATTTACCTCTTTTCTAGTCTCTAGTTTCTACCCTAAACAAAACCATTTCTAACTCTCAGCACAGTATGGTTGTGTACTCTTTACCCAGTTTCAGTGAATTTCACGGTGAACACCGGAAAAATTGAAAAACCAAACATATAAGAATTTGAATGCACCGTATGTCATCTTAGATAAAACCGAACTGAAATCGAACTAAAAATCTTTTACACCAAGATAACCGAATTGAAAGGTACGGAAATGCAGAGTCTGGCTCTGTTTTTGTTTTGCCTCAGTTTTTCTATGCATTTGTAGTTAATTTTGCGCAGTTTCGTGCGAAACAGCACCAAACAGAACTCTGAAAAATAATAACCGAACCACAACGCAATGTAGGAAAACTTTTCCACCTAAAAAACCCAAACAGAACTGCACTCAATTGTACGGTTCAGCTCAGTAGTTTTCCACCCAAAACTGCACTCAATTGCACGGTTCAGCTCAGTTTTTTAGCTTCGGTTTGGTTTGGTTTTGCTTACCCCTAATTGCAGGTGTTGATAGGTTCCGATCCGTTGGATCAACACACAATGTATCGGTGAATTACTCTATACACTAAAACTCATCACATTGATTATTATCATCAAATCGCCATGCCATATCCAATCACTCTGCTCACAATAACTGAAAACTCGGAAAAGCATAAAGACCATGAAATTCCGAAAACGGAAAAAAAAAAAACAAAAAAAAAAGCACCTGTAAATATCGTAATTGAGGTCTTTGGTGAAGATCAACGGCATGTCCTCACGAAGTGTTCGCACAGCTAAGCCCAAATTGACGTAGAACTCATTCCTTTCGTCCCCCTTCTTATCCTGCGCGCCTGGTGCCAAGCTAACATGCGCCGACCCACGCGACGGCGGTGCTTCGAGCTTCGTCTGAGGTGAGGCGCCGGTAACGGGAACCGGCGGGGGTGACAGCGGAACAACGACGGCTGATTTGTCTCTGGATGAGAGAAGAGTTGGGGATAGATGTGGAAGAATATAGGCCATATGCGATTCTAATTTGTGCTTCGATTGCCTTGCTTGTAAATAGGGGTTTTCCTCTGTAATGACGAATTTTGGTTGGGTTTTTTATTTTTTTTTATTTTATTTTTTTTGAGTGTTGGGGAAGACGGTGTGAGATGTTGAAAAATTTGAGTGGTTTTGAGCAAATAAAAAAAGTCTTTTTTTATTGTAATTTTGTGGATATATTTAAATTAAAAGTTTTAGTATGAGCATACAGTACAGTATAAAATGCAGCAAAACTGAATATGCGGGTTCAGAGGCATGTGTGCTTGTGACATGAATGCTCCTCTTAAATTAAACGGGTCTAGTTCGACCCAATTTGAGCAGTGCTCGTTAAAACTTGAGTTCAACTTGAGCAAGAAAACTTAGTGAACTGAGGTCGAGCTCTTTTAAAACTCGTTCGGTTAAGGAATCGAGCTCGCTCGGCTCGTTAAGGCTTGAGTTCGACTCGAGCTCGATGCTTTGGTGAACCGAGGTCAAGCTTTTTTAAAATAGATTAGTTAATGATACGAGTTCAGCTCGACTCGTTAAGGCTAAAAAATATAACTTTTATATAATTTTTATATTTTGACTCATTAAAACTCAAGTTCGATTCGTTAAGGTTCGAGCTCGATATTTGGCTTGTTTAATTAACGAGTCGAGACCAACTCGACTCGTTTACAGACCTACTTGTGACCTTCATCTTTCTTCGATAGATTTTGCGAAGAAAATATGGAACTAAAGGACAAAAATAAAATCCATAATTGTCATGTGAGACAAATATGCCATGTTTTCATGATAACCTGAATAACTTCTAGCTTAGGCAGGTTAGATCAAACATCAAGTACCATGAAAGATGGGTAACAACTCAATCATGAGTATTAAAATGGGCATAAAACAATTTGACTGTTATCAGGTATTGATATGCCATTCACTCCACTTGATAATTATCGAAATTGTCAAGTGGAGCTAAATACGTCCAGGTTCAATAAACTTAGTGAAGGTGATACGAGTTGGGTGGCCACAAATTTGCAATAAATTTACACTAAAAAGATTATAGTAGCTAGGTCCAAGGCTCAAGCCTCCACAAGCCCATATCGTATAAGATTGCCCCAAGTGTTAAGGTCCAAGATCCAAGACAAAACTAAGACTCATACCTATACTAGCCAACCGACAAACGCGTGCATGTGATTGAAACAAACATTGACACTTGGTGCATAACATTAATTTGTAACATCTCAGCGTCTCTTTATTATATTAAAGGTAGTTATCCTCATTTAAGAGTACAACTCGAATAAATCTCTTGACCCTTCGAATCTCACAACCAATAATTTACGTGCGTATTTTTTACTAGCTTTAATCATATATACTTCATTCACCAAAAATCAATTTTGAAAAAAAAAAAAAATCACGAGTATCGACACGAAAAGTAGATATTTTTTTACTTAATTTAACTAATCCAACATCAAGAGGGTATATATGCGTTTGACATTTTGAGTGAAATTTTGATCATTTTTAGTTTTCAGACTTTGTGAGTTTTTTCAGGTTTTTAAAGAATCATATGAAATCTTAATTCTGGAAGTAAGAGTTGGAGTGTGATTTCGTATAAATTTTTTTTTGTTGGAGTGTTTTCGTATAAAATTTTTCTTTTAAAATCACATCAAATTTTAACAAGTCTTAACAAATTCTAGTTTCAAATAAGTTAAATACATACGGGTTTGTCAGACATTTTAAAATCACAAATAAATACCAAGACTTTTAAAAGGCTTAAAAAATATAAATTAAATACACTAAAATAAATATTTAGTCAAAAAAAATATCAGGTCAAATAAAATTTTCCATTTTTTATTAATGATTTTCTAAACTGTAACTTAGCTTATGAACAAAAGTACATCTTTATATGTAAAATGTCATATTTTATTTATGTATTGTTTAAAAATATTACACTCTCCATATATATATAAATGTAGAGTTTTCGAATTTAGGTGTTAATTTTTATTCGTAATTGTATGTGAAAAATTATGTTGCCTAATTTTATGATGCTTCCACGTAATATATATAAATATGGACTTATGTACATGCTCATTATAATTTTTAAAATCATAATTGATTAACTTAAATTATAAATATATTTTAAAAATTACGTCTGGATGGATTTTTGATCATGGAAACCAGGAATAATTTTTGTATCTAAACAAATTTTCATATATGATATATCAAATTAATCATCTTTTGACAAACTTTGATTTGATTTGACACAAATTACATACATAAATAATACTGGTAATAAAAAATAAATAACCTAATAGTATTGATTACAAAAGTATTTATTAATTAAATAAATACTATCAAACCAATTATATATTATTTATTCACAACTGACATTAACCGTTGGAAATAAAAAAAATTTATTTTCTTTCTATGCACCATAATCTCATCTCAAAATAAACATTGTGCATGCTCTAAATTTATTGAAGAGTTGTAAAAGTTGATGGAAAAAAAATATTATTTAGAGTTTGAAAAAAAGGTTTACGGGTTGGATATGAATATGTAAAATGTGACAGTTACGGCAAAATGAGTTTAAGTATGAAATTTTCGGTTGCAGATGACCTACTACTTCAATTTTAAAAAATAGAGGCCCCATCGCCATTGAATGTGGGCGCATCTGAATGCACAAGCTACATAACAGTTTGTTTGAAGCCAATGCCAGAATTTCAACACCCAATTACTATCGGCAACGTAAAGCGCTAAAAACACCATTAATGATCAAAGGTGCATCAGTGATTCTAATTTGTTGCCTTCATATCCATCAATTTTTTTTTTTTTTTTTTTTGAAATTCCTCGAATTAAAAATAAAAATAAAAATAATAAGCAATAGATAAACCGTAAACCCTAATTTTCAGATCAATTTTTCTTTTGAGTTGTGGAAAAAAAAAAGAATTGAAGAGCTGTGAATATGGGCTTGGTTTAGTATTGGGCTACGCTTTAGTATGGAAAACAAACTAATGATGGTAAGATGGGCTTGGTTTATAGATGTTAACATGGGCCTAGAAAGTGAAACAAAAAAGAAATACAAACAAAATAACATCATCATAGTTGTGAATTGTGATGATGGGGTCTTGTTTGTTGGCCTAGACTAGACAAGGTTAGTGCCCTAATACGGGCTGAATCGGGCCTGAGTTTTGGCCATGTGTACGTAGGAGCTTGTATTATTTTATTTGGGAGTATGTATTTTTTTCTAGTGAGATTTTTTTAGTCTTGTGTCGTGTTGTGGTATTTAGTATATCTTGGATATGTCTGTTCATTCCGGTTAGTAGCTGTTTGCAATTATATATTTACAATATTGAACTCAATTATCACGAAAATAAAACGGATATGAAAAAATTGGATTCGGTCAAAACAGCTAGATCACAAGAAGGTGAAGCCAATAATTTAATATGCTTAGTAAACAAAATTGAACCAAAATCTGATAAAAATGGTTGGATACCATCCCAATTTTCACGCTCTAAGCATTGACTTGACTAATTTACCGACAAGGATACATAAAATATCCATGATAGTACGTATATAGTATCATTCGATGACACGTGATTCTTCATAACAGACCATATATTCTTAAATTCTAACATCGTATTGATTCTCTTGCCGATGAATACAAACGTCAAGTTCAGGGTGTGGTTTAGTATTCTGAAGCAATTTTGTGAGTAAATACGAAGAGAAATATCTATTATTTATGATAATAAAACCGTTTTTCTTTCGTAAGTTGGGGACAAATAGTCGAGTCGAGTTTGAGCTTGTGATAAATAAGATTGACCTTTAAGAAGTCGAGTTTGGTTCAACAAGTAAACAAGCCAGCCATCGAGCTTCAAGTTGATTATAATTTCAATGTTAATGAGTCGAACTCGACCCTTAACTAGTCATACTCGAAATTTAACGAGCCAACTTATAAGAAAATAATGTCAAGATACATATTTCCTAGCCCTCTCGATCATTTTCTAGCCGAAGACGAGTCATGATGAGCACGATTCATTAACTACACGATCTTTAAGTGAGCTCAAACTCAACTCATCTATCAAACGAGGCAAGCCATCTCTAACTGAGCTCATGTGCGTTTCGTTAAACTCATATTTATTTATTC